TGAATGCAACATGAGGCAGCTGTGGGCTGACTCAAGAGCCAGGCTGCCACTTAATTCTGAATACAGAGTCAGCTCTTCTCAGTCAAACCTTGTCTGTGTTTGCACAAGACACTTCAAGACAGTTCACTTTTATGCAGGCAAAAAGCTCACAATATACTCTTCAAAAGACTGTTGATTTTAGATCCTCTCTGTACTGAATAGAATTCCCTGCACAAAATCATTACATCATTGTTGCAGGGACTGAGGTAGGGGGAAAGCTAGAAGGAGTTAAAATCAGAGAAAGAGAGAGAGAGAATCCTCTGCATGGCAACAAGCAGGGGAATCAGTGCTCTATAAGAATGCAAACCTGAGACACTTTGACTTCCAGTGCATCAGGACTAAATAGAGGATCAACCACTTATTAACTGCAGATGATACTGTGCTAGTTAGCCAGGTAGACTTCATTATGATTGAAATAATTATCAAAGATCAAATAGGGGCCCCTGATTATTCTCTTTCCTGTACACTTTCCCCCATAAAAAGAAACTCACTCTGATGGTTGTTTCCACAAGGCCTCCTCTTGGTCCCTTTTTTGGCTGCTTGGATTATCAACAGGAGAATGGACAGTCCACTCACAATGAGCAATATAAGACAAATAAGAATAAGTGATAAAGATCCTGTAAGAAAAACAGAAAAAGAATATCTTAAAAAAGATTCATGGTTCTAGCTGGAGTTTCCATGGCCTTCAAGCTTCAAAAGAAGGAACCTCAAACTCCAGAAGTACCCCTGAACCATAAAGTCTAAAAGTTCCAGCTGCCAAGCAGACTAGGAAGAAATCTGGAATCTTGTGTGAGTCTCACTGAAAGACTGTAAAACACAGATCTGAGAAAGGGTGTGATTTCATTTCTGATTAAATCAGTTTCAGGTGAAAATTCCCAACCAGCTCCAGTAAACAGAGAGACTAGACTTGGTCATTCCCTCTCCTTACCCCAGTTTGTCTCTGTTGGGTTGTTCACATCCGGGCAAATGAAAGGAATCACATTGGGTCTGGATGTTGAGAACATCGCAGTCGACATATTACTCCTGTGGTCAGTAGTGGAAAGATTCAAAGCAGGTGTTGCACTCTGAGGGGTAGCTGGCTGTGTGACATGGTTGCTGCAAACAGCATCACTTGTTTTTGTCCCTGGTCGAAGAGTATTTTTCCCAAGAATGCTGCAACTAGAGATGTAAAATAAATTAGTGTAGTTTTTGAAACAGCTGCAGTAATGACTTTATAAGAGATCACCATGAAACAAGTGAGTGAACTTTACAATCCTTGTTTTATCAACACAAACTCAGGCTTCACCTTTCCTAGATTCTATAAATATGTGAGGAATAACTAAGCTAATCAAAGTTATTACTGGAAAAAACCTGACATTCTATTTTTCTTACCATCTTTACATATAACAGCCTTGAAGCACAGCTGTACGCAGCAAGGGAACTTTTTGCTATAGAAACAAATCATCCAGACCTTTAAAAAAAAGGTTGAGAAAACTGTTGTTGCTATAGGTGAAGAAAAAAAGGGGGCTGAAGGGAGACAGATGCTTCAAATCAGCATGCAGACTGCTCAAGGCTCCTGAGAGTCATGAGGAACATGGTTTCATTGCACCTACTGCAGGTTTACTCTACACACAGCGATTTGGGCATCAAGTACTACAGAAATAACACCAAAATGTTGCTCTGAAGATGTCTGGATTAGTGATACATACTTGGTCCAAGGTTGACAGTTTTCATTTCTCCCCATGGAATAAGACCCTTCAGGACATGCTGAGCACACTGGAAAAAAGGAAGAGGCAGAATTTGAGTTAGCAACTTAATTGTATGACAGCTACACAGTAATTACACTAATAATTTATACTAGTAGTCTAGCTTATAGAACAAACCCAACAAAACCCACATGGTCTCTAAAACCCATAGTCATTGGGTCAGAAGTTACACGACATGCTCAGTGGTTCATTTTAGTCTGCAGCTGGCAAGGTTTCCTGTTTACTGGTTAATTATGGATATTAACAAGAGCAGCATCAAGATTTCTGACAGCTCAGGAACTGCAGAGCAACAGTCTGCACAACTATCCTGCTGTAACACTTGTGTGGAGACAGCAATGAGACAAATGACAACAGCTTGTACAGTAGAAAGAACAACCACCTCATCTGAAGTGGAGGCACATCACTAACTCACCACTTCCCAGTGTGTATCTGACATCTGGCATGTAACCTGCAACACACATGCAAATTCTGTCAGAGGTCTTCTCACACTTCTTCACTTCCACGCTCCCCTTCCCTAGCAACAACAGAATAAAGGGCAAGTGAGACAAAAAATAAGTTAAGAAAGAAAAAAAACAAATTACACAGTGCCTATCTGTTGTGTGTAGAAACAACTGCAGAGGGTAGAGTTTATTAACAATCCTGAAGACATGAGTTTCAGGCAGTACAAGCCTGCTTCTCTTTGAAGGCTCTATCATCAGTAACAACCAGGAAATATCAGCTATTGAAATGATAACCCACACAAGGACAAGAAAGCATTTGCCTCCCAAATTCATAACAAGAAATGATCACTACACAGTTGACTTACTGGTGTCACAGATTGTACAACTCTTGCAGAAGTTGTGGTTGTGCTCACTGTTAAAGTATTCGTCTTGACAGGGGGTACAGACTGTGTCTGCTGTTGCAGTGCAGCGGCTTCTCATTCTTTCACCTAAAAGAAAGACCATGAAGAAGCAGGAACTGATTGTTATCAGAAGGAAACCCTCTTCGTTTTCATGCAGCAGAATGAAAGAATGCTCAGAAAGTGACTGTTCCATGTACAACTCTGGCTGAAAACATTCAGTAGATTTAGACATGCCAGAATTCCTGAAAGATCTGACCCAAATCATCACTGTAAATTAAGCAGCTAAAATGGGGTAGCAGAGGCCTAGTGACTTGCTGAGAGTTGAGGCAATATCCCAAATGATTCTCCCAGTAGATTCCAAATATCACATCTCCAGATCACTTTTTCATATGGTTAAGACACTGCAGTTTTCCAGGCACGTTCCTTCTATCTCCATAGAGCACAGGCTGCAGGACTATAGACAGCTTTATTGACTAAGGTTTTCACAGCTGTGCTTAAATACATCCTTATTCTCACAGACTGTTTCTTTCATTTTCGTTCTCCATTTTCCCATTCTGTGGGTGAACAATGAGCACCAAGTCTCTTGCTCACTCTAAATTTTTCTCTGCATTTGTTTGAGTGCTATCAATGGCAAAATACAGGAGATATTCAGTGACCACAATATATGCACTATACTTCTACATTTTTACTATTTACATAATCAGGAAGAAACTATGAAGAAATGTTTCCCCAACAGCAGCAGATTTGCTAACAATGCAAAAAAACCTGATAAAAGTTCTTTCAGCATAAGGAGGCACAAAAAAACTTTAGAGATAAAGAATTATCTCTATCTGCATACAAGCCTTTCTTTAAATTGAGTTCAGAAACACTGCGTTTAGCTTTGAGAATAATGCAATAAACTGCCTCAAGTCTTAGATTAAAGGTTGAATTTACTCCATTTAGAATCTTTGAAGACAATGCTGCATCAGAGCTCACAGCATAACTATTTGGTGTTGTAGACTTAATTTTCAAAAATAACTATTCTGAAAGATGCACATGAAAACATATGCAAGAGTTTAAGTTGCAGCTGCACTTACAGACATGATCTACATGATCTACACTCCCTCTAGATGCACAGATGAACCCTTCTTTTAGTACAGTCAATAATAACTGTACCAAAAATAACCTTTTCTGTTAAGAGGACAGCCCCTTGAACAGCAATATTACCTGTCAGTTGTTATTCTTCATCACCAAGTCATTTCTATAATGAAATCACAACTATTAAAGTATTTGAAGTTTGATATTTTGCATTTGTGCTTCTCAATACTGCATTGCCTTCAGAGATAATCAGATTGTGGGGAAAAAACACACATAGGTATGCAAAACCCAGAATTCAGACTCATTTCATGGCTTTAAACTGAAAGAGGGTAGGTTTAGATTAGATATTAGGAAGAAGTTCTTTAGTGTGAGGGTGGTGAGACACTGGAACAGGTTGCCCAAAGAGGTTGTAGATGCCCCCTCCCTGGAAGTGTTTAAGACCAGGGTGGATGAGGCTTTGAGTAACCTGATCTAGTGTAAGGTGTCCCTGCTGATGGCAGGGGGATTGGAACTAGATGATCTTTAAGGTCCCTTCCAACCCAAACCATTCTATGATTCTATGATTCTATGATTCAGTTTCTACAATAAGAAAGGAGGAAACAAATACATTTCCTCTCAAGTTATGCTTTTCTAATCTCTATGAAACAAGCATATTTTTTCCTTCAAAAAACCACCAAGTCTTAAGTAGTATAAACCTTGCTACAAAAGAAAGCTTAAAAAACATCTTTAGCCACAGAATTAATTGTCTAAAGTTTTCCATTATCATGCCAGACTTCTGAGTTTTTTTTATGTGAGAGATAAAGACAGCAACATAAACGCTCCCATCTTTTCTCAGATAACACTCCCACAATGAAAATGCACCAGACTGACACATTAAGGAAGCTGAGCCACACAAAAGAAGTTCTTTTCAAGTTCTTCATTTAGCTCTTTTCAAAGAGGAGGATTCCTACATTTAGTATGTTATAGAAATAATCTTTGTCAGTGTAGGTAACTCTACTCCAGCCAAAACCAGTACAGACTGATATGAAAATCTCCTCATCAAATGCTATGCTTCCTACATTTGAATGGTATCTTCATCAAGCTGGTTCCTACCACCTGTGGGTTATTAAATGATAACTATTACATCGAGCAAGTATAACCAACCAACGTTCAGTGAAAATTACTTACCAGGGGCACAGTCCTTGCAGCATTTTTCACCGAAAGGATGCTCATGTTCTTTGCATTTCAACCCGAAGCAGCAGCTAATAGTGACTGCCAGCAGCAAGAAGAAAGCAGTGGAAAAATGCAAGTAAAAACCTACAGCTACCATAATGCAGCCCTACTGTCCCAGCAAAATCCTGAGAGTGGCAAACGCTTGAAGAAGTGATTCTAAAGCACTGGTGGCCAGAGCAAACTCATATGTCAGTTGCTGGGAAATTCCCAGCACGTGTTCCACGCCCCCATCCTTTTTCCCACTCCTATTTTTGCAGTTCACAACTAAAATATTCATAGGCAGAAAGACAGTATGCTGAAGAGCGTTATGAAAAGATTTCTATTCATAGTCTTAAAAGAGAGCGCCTCCAGCCAGGTACATACCTCTCTATGTGGTATTAAAGCACAGACCTTGAATGCCAGGAGAACTGGAAGAGATGATCCTTGTTATTGTAAAGAGGAATATCAAAGTAATACAGAAGTAACGCCTGAAAACCTTTATGGATGAGAGCCGTAGGTAAAATGAAACATAGCCCACATAGGCTTGCTTCTCAAAAGGCAAAGTGCAGACAGATTCTCTGCCCTTCCTTTGGTTTCATGGTAACGGTAAATCTGTGACTGTTACTGCTGCATAAAACCCAACGTCGTTAGTACATTTCTCTGCTCAGGGAGAGCGCGGAATTACAAATCATCAGTCATCTTGATACTGCCCTCGGGAGCTAGAAACAGCTACAGATGAGAAGCATTTGCAGTCTCTCCATTTTAGCTCTTAACATCAGACTCACTGCATTGCCACTGAAGAAAAGTAACCTCCTGACTCCAAAATACAGACTTCGTGTCACCTCTTCCATTTGCTCCCATGGAAAGAGAAGCTTCCAGCAGAGAATCACAGAATCACAGAATGTCAGGGATTGGAAGGGACCTCAAAAGATCATCCAGTCCAATCCCCCTGCCAGAGCAGGAACCTAAACGAAATCACACAGGAAGGTGCCCAGGTGGGTCTTGAATGTCTCCAGAGATGGAGACTCCACAAGCAGAGGTGTGCTCTGTGAAAGGGAAGGATGCAATATGCATGCACCAGCTACTTTTGATGCCTATTTTGTTCCACAGAAGCATGTTGACTCTGGAATCCAAACCCCTCCAAAGGCTCCTCCATCCAGCTGTACAAGCCAAGGACAGCAAGGAGGAGGCTGAATAGCACACTGGCATTGCAGTCCTGCCCTCATCTAACACAAGGCATGTAGAGTACAGAAAAAAAGGGATCACAGTAGGAATTAGTGGGCTTAACTTTCCAGGCTTACTATTAGAGCTTTATTAATTTGATCTTATTGATCTGGGATCTAAATTTTAGGTCTTCCAGTTCTAAGGGACTTGAGCAACTCTTATACAAAGGCCCTAGTGAACAAGACATCCTACAGTAATCAAAGATGTTTTATTTAGGTTATTTAAAAAACATAGTCAGACTTCCCAGACAAAGCAGATCTACAGTCAACTTACATCTAAATGCAAAGGAGATTTGATTGGAACTGAAATCCATTTGAAATCCCAATTAACCTGCAGTATTTGGGAGGACTGAACTGCAATATCAGGGCATATTTTATGCAGAGCTGCTGCTTTTTGTTTATTTCTTACATTTCTATAAAACTGTTTAAGAGTGGAAGGGGAGACAAAAGTGAGGCAAAACAGTAACTGTTTTTCTACTTCTCATATTTTCCAAGCATTCTGGAAAACAACTACTATGGAAAAGAAGTTCTACCTTAAAGCCATGCTTTCCCAAAGGGAAGCAAGTAAAGCATACCAGTTAACTTCAACTACCTTCACCCTCAGTACCTGCATGCAGGAAATATCCTAATCTCTTCCCACTGTAGTATCACACTCAATGCCATTGAAGTGGCTTTACACCTCATGACTCAGTCATTCCCTCAGCAATATTTAACCAGATATATATTTTTTCCCCTTAATTCTCTTTCACAAACACTAGTGGACTTTACCTATTCAATAAGTCAATTATTATTCAGTAAGAAACTGAAAATGCAAACTCCTGTGATGGTCACAAAAATTCTGCTCTATACAATTTAAGCTGAAAACTCCCAAAATACTAGAGCAGTGATGATGAAGCACTGATATTCTTGTTAAGGATACTTCAATACTAATGAAATGTTAATTTAATAAAGGCAATTAGCCACGTACCATCTTGAGAATTCAACTTTTACGTAGGGCATCCTTAAGTGTTACCAGGCTGGATATTGCCAGTTTCCTTTACGTGGCCATATTATGTAAGTAAATAAAACAGAGAGAGAACACAGTGATTAACCCATAGCATTTCACATTTAGCATGCTCCTTGGCTGGATTTTCACCAATGCAAATTAACCTCTCCCAAATCCTGCTTGGAATTGCCATGGGGATCACATATGTCCCAGTCTGCTCCCAGAAAACAGTCTGGATGCAGCTACTCTGGCTGTAGTAGGAGAGGAGAGCTTCAGAGTGTTGAGCTGAGCCATGCTGTGGATCAGAAATAAGAATCTGTACTGCTTTTATTTAATGTACACGTATCATTTTCGACTATAGATGCTTATCCTACACATTCCATACAAGCTTTTGAATTCTGGAAAGATGAAACATGTTCATGAGACAGTAGCACTCAAACACAAAGCCCTATTAACAGTAGGCAGATTGCTTGTGTGCATGAAAAATCCAAACACATGGAACTCTTAACTAGTGCTTCATGAAAAGCCTTCAAGAAAAAGTCACTAGATTCCTCACCTATGGGAAAGGACCCACAAGGATTTGAGAAAGACTGATTGTATATAAAATACTTACAAGAATTTTTTTAAAAAATAAGTCTATGGACAAACTAGAATAGTCTAAATTTCTAAAATTCCAAGACAGGAATAATCTCATGTACCTCCAAATCTCATCATGCAGTCCACTTTTATCTTAACAGCTGTTAGTTAACATGTGATCTTGATTTCTGGCAGAGAAAAAACAAAACACATTAAGGTGCAGAACTACTTTAAAAATGATTTTTTTTTCCCCACAGTTGTTCCTCAAGTTTCAGATTTATCAGGTGTGTGGCAAATACAGCCACAACAGTACATACTCTAACATTTCTGCAGTTGCTAGCTAAATACTGTGCTACCTTGCATTTTTTAAGGGATTACATATTCACACTATCAGAGAATAAACTAAAACAGCATACGTAGAATCTCTGCCTCAGTTGAGAGATAAAGTTCCAAATTTCAGGATATTTCAGCTGCTGAAGAATCCTTCTGCAAACCAGTACTTGCTTGCTGAGCATCTGGTGTGACACGACAGAACTTGCCCACTCAAATTATATCTAAATAATTGAACTGTGAAAACAACTAGAGCATAATACAAGAATGCAGCCAGGATATTTATATCATTATCAACTAATTTAAACAATCAACATTAAAATCCCACCACCCTGCAACCAAGTACATGTGGGGCGTTGGTACAGAAATGGAAGGGAATGGGGACTGACTAATGTGGCAGACATTCTAAGCTCATTTTAACACAAGATTATAAACTGAATTTATTCCTCTCCTACAGTTCTTGCAAAACCATATTTTAATTTGTCTCTCCTCTTCAGAATTGCAGTTTTTCCCCACTCACTGGAAAACCTAAATCCAGAAACATTTCCAAAGCATGGAGAAAAATATTTAATGAAAAAAAAAAGATATAGGTATATAAAAAGACTCTGATACAAGCTATTTAACAAAAACAAACAAAAAAGAAACATAAAAAAAGAGAGGGAATACCGAAACAGAAAAAGACAGCAATACTTATATTTACATTATATTAAGAGAATAAATTTAATCAAATATAACATCTCACTTGGATTTTCAGGTAACCCTTCAGAAAGAGGGGTTTTTACAGTAAAGATGGAACCAGAGTAAAAATAAGTTTTCTGTTTTAGACAGTAGTGGATATGACCCTTGTGTTGCAAGATGCTTTCCGAGATTACCCAAAACCAGACTGATTAAAAAGCTCCCCAAATGCTGACTACACGTTGCTCTGGCAAAAGCAGTTCAAAAGCAAAGCCTGTATTTCCCCCAGCTTCATCATTCATGAGTTTATGAGCATCGTTCATTTGCAGAGGCAAGTAATTATACTAGTTTTAACAATGAATTTTAGTTAAGTAGTAATCATACACCTGGGTGAATCCCATTGCTCTGTCCAACATCTTTAAGCTCCCAAAGAAACCTTCCCCATTGTTTCATTTTTAGAATGAAATTTGATTTTTTAATACATAACCAATGTCAATTCTCTCATATTCCCAGTGCACCTGCAAACACAAAACCTGTCATGCTATAACCAGCTTTCTTTTTAAAGTGGATGTAGAAGAGCTTCTCTGGAACATTTAAAGTAAGTTCTTCCCCACAAGCTTGCTCAGCAATGGAGGGAGAACTTGCATTAAATTCTCAACAACACGTAAGTAGGTTGAGATGCCTTGAGAAGAACACTGGAAGATTAGCCCATCAGTCTAGGTATGGATATCCTCATGAGGTCAGAACACACGCCTTTGAACCACAATCCCTTTACAAAAGCCAACATCTTTCAGTGTTCCTTGTGATTTCCACGGATCAGCAGCTATGAGGGCAACAAGAAGAGTTAAATACTGAAGACGCCTCCACCAAACATGATTAACCAAAAGTAGCTGAAACTTCAGCTGGATTAACTGTACAAACCAGGACAAACTGATGTAGTCCAGTTACCTGCCCGTTATTTATGGATCTTTCCCCCCCTCATACTGAAGGCAAGAGAGCTGTAGATCTTATGTATGGACGGAAGGGTTTTTTTGAAGTCTAGAACAACACGCTGTAGGCATATAACACAGATAGCAGCAAAGTAACTTTCTGTCTGTTTGAGGGTTGGATTTTTCTTTTTTTTGAAAGCAGGAAAGTGCTTCAGAGCTCTGGAAAAGTGAGCAGGATCAGAACTCCTCATGGACGTTCCGTGCGTAGTCCATAAGCTTGCTGCCTGTGAAGTATTCACTGTATTTCAGTATCTCCTCCAGCTCTAAGTGATGGTTTTGATTTTCATCTGCTACTGCTATCATTTGCTTCGCTTCATTTAGGGCATTGTATTCATTCATAGGATCCATATATTCCTGAAACAAGTAAGAAAATCATTTTCAATCCTTAAGTACACATTTTCACACATCAGAAATATGAAGCTCTATGTAAGCTTCAGCTACTGAGCCCAACATAAGCCATCCCAAACATCAGTCATGGAAAAAGGTGTTAGCACATCTTTTTAACAGGCTTACATCTATCTCCTGGCTATGTTTCCATTCACTGCTTCCTTTGCTGTTCTAACAGAAATACAGATTTTTCTCAGCTTATGCCAGCGTCTACAATAAAAATATTTTTGACATTTTGGTTGCAAACTAAACTCACTATCAAATCTGGTGGTTTTTGTGAAGAAATACCGATTCAAAAATAAAAACTGGCACGCTCCCCATCTGTGTGACCTAAATTTTCTTGTTTCTGGAGATAAACTCTTTAGTACATGTTAAATTTAGAACTTCTTTGTTCCATTTTAAACCACCAGGCAGACATTAGAGAGGTAAGAAGCCTCAGAAACAAAGCATTTTGCTCCTTCACCTACCTTGAAATAGATTAAAAGTTTTCAAGCACTGCACTTTAGCTCATGATGTACAAGACTCAACATTATCTTCAATTTCTTTCCAGATGTCACATATATGTGCATGTGTCTACGTGTGTAGACATATACAAAGACTTCACAGATAAAAGGACTATTTTTAAAACCAAATTCTCAGTAAAAAGGCTATTCATATTGTCTGTGTCACAATGTAACTGTTTATCCATCCTATCACTATTGTTCACATCCACATATTTGCATACTGAGAAGGTTAGGAACTTCAGCACTCATCCTGTCTGGGGGAGAAGACCAACACTTGAGAGGTTCTCCTTCCACGCTGCCTATGCTGCAGTTTGAATTCTGCCTGTCAAAGTACATTCCTACATCCAGAAAGGCAAAAAAATAAAAGCCAGAAATGAGCCACGAGCCTCTTCCACTGGCCACAAAACCACCCCAACTATAAGTTGCAAAATATTTCATGTTGTTTGGTAGACACGCTTCTGTAGACAGAATTGTTAGAAGAACGCCTCACTTGTGCAAACTGAAGTTGAAAAAGGCCACAAACTAGAATCCACACTTGAAAATAATAATTTGTTGTGGTTTTTTTTTAAATAAAAAAATCTCGAAGACAAGAGATCTCTGCTATTTTCTACACTACGAGGACCCCAGGGTTTGTTGGCTGTTGGGTTTTTTTTGGTTTGTTTTATTTTTGGTTGTGTTTTTTTTTAATGAATATATAGGTTGCCAGTTACTCCTTTTGTAACTGAAAGTATGACTCATTGTCCCATTAAGCAGCGCACCTAATGAAGTCTGTGACTCACTTTCATGCACTCCAAAGCCACACACGTGTCTATGTGACAAAAAAAACCCTGAAAGCATACCTCTGAATAACAGTGAAGCTAAGAAAACTCCCCCTCCTCTTTAACAAAAAGCCTAACAACATTATCTGCAAGCACTGTAGAACTGTAACTCAAAGTTTCATAGACACACACACCATACTGTTCATTTTTGGACTTCATATTCTCTAAAGCAGTTTCAATCCTGTATTTAAAAAAACAATTATTGGTTTTAAAAACACTAAAACTAATTATTTGAGGACAACTTACCTCCAGCTCTTCCATTGTAACAATACCATCATGGTTAGCATCGATGACCTCCTCAAATTCCTTCCTTCTGTCTTTTACCCAGTCATCATCAATATCTTGAGCTTGCTGGTTCTCTACGGTACCAACAGGTAATGAAATGAACTCTGAAAGGGTGAGCTTCTTGTCTCCATCTTGATCTACAACAGAAGTTCATAGTAACTGAAAAGTATTTGCTTAATGCCCATGAAAAATGAGAAATTCCTTCATGTCAGAGATGCCATTGGTACACTCTGCCTGGTTTCAGCAACGCGCCACCCAAACTCTAGCAGAGAATAGTTACCATTGATATCTTTGGTCAGCTGGAAACGCTCTGAATTATGGTACACAATGTTTTAGGAGGATAAAAAACATACACTCATCAATACAACAGACAAAAAGAATTTTACTGCTCCTGAAGGACACACCAGGTGGCAAGCTGGGCTTTTTTTTGTGATTGCTGCTGTTCTGTCTGCGCGTGTCACACGCTCAAGTATCACTGGAAACTCTTGATATTTATTAAGCTCACAACCAGCAAAGTCATCGTTCTTTGTTGTTGTTTTTTTTAATCCAGGTGTTCTAGCAGTTTTAAGTAGGCATCACTATTGACTCAATAGAAGAATAAATATGTACCAATACTTATGACTTTAAAAAAAACCACATTATTTTCTTAGAAACCTCAACCATTTATTTCCACTCTCATGACTGTACTTCACGATTCTTACACAGCTGCTGTACTGCAGAAGCACAAAGCAATTAATTTGCTCCTTACAGAACATTCACATCAATATCTTTTATAATATTTCACTATTCATCAATATTTTCTAGTACTGCTACAGTGACCCTACAATGCAGCAGCATCTCAGTATGACTGAAGTAGCGTCAGCTGATCTCTTTGTATGAAGAACTCAGAATATCTTTCTAACACATAATGTTGTAACAACCAGACAAAATTTAGTCTTGAGAGATGCACATACAACTCCATAGGATGCCAGAATTTGTGCTGATTTTCTTACTCATCACGTTAGATGTGTAGAACAGAGCAAACAAGATGTGCCAAAATTTCAGCTTAACCCATGACAGTGCAATGGCCTAACGTTTGTAAGTAAACAACACCCAAAACATGTTTTTAAATGATATACCTAAATCTCGGATGATTTCTTTCACCATGAACTTCAGCATTCCCCTGCTATGCTCTGGATGAAGAAAGGACAAGAATTCTTCTTCATTCAACAACAGATCAGGAGGTGGGTTGTCAGCTTGGTACCACCGATCCTTCAGGTTATCCAAAACTTCTTGTGCTAGAAATTTAAGAAAAAGATTTAAGCCATCATGTTCAATCCATTTAAAGTTCTTAAAATACACCTTCCCCTGTTTAAACAAGGATGAACTATTCACTACAGTTCAACTCCCAGGGAAAGTGGGTGCTGAGGGGGAAAAAAGTGCAATTAGTTTCATCTAGTTTGTGCTGAAACACTGCAAGATCCTTTAACCAAACAACTGAACTGAAATTAGGAGATGAAAATAAAGATTTAACTACATCTGTATCAAAACTTCAGTGTTATCAAGTGAAAAGTATTGTCCTGCCAGTATTATTAGTGTGTTCTGGTAGGAGGTATCAATAGTCCAACTTTGTTCAGTACTTGTTTTTTCTCCTCTCTTTCATATTTTGAAGCCCAGTACCAACAGAAATCTTGCAGCTACCTTTGTTCTAAACGAACCATTTTTGTTTCCTACTTCAAACCAGCTCTGCACATTGAAATAGCCAAAACATCCTTCAAATTCAAAATATTCTTCAGATTCACTATCTCCATATATTGCAATTGTGACATCACACACCTAATTCACATCTACAAGAAAAGAAGCTGTCAACCAATTCTTTTGGTACCCAAATCACCTCAGAACAGCAAACCCTTTAACATTTAACATGACCATCATTAAATCTAGAAAGACATTTCTGATCTGTGAACACCACTGTACTAGTGCTTTGGCTAATTGCTCCACACAGGTTTATTCTACTCCTCAGCACTTTTTAAGTCTACCGCAGGCAAGAAAATATTCTTTGTCAGCACAGTGGTTCCAAGCATAATTAAAGGGACACAATTTATTACTCCAATGTTACATCACTCAGCTTTTCTTATTTCAACTTGGCATTTCTTAATACAACATTATCTAAACCAAAAGCAGCTGTGCTATTGTTCTGAACTCTTTTTAGGTATGTTCAAGCTCACAGGATTTGAGTTAAAATGGTACAGTGATCTACCACAAAGTGATGACTGAATCGTGCATACTGCACGTAATTTTGAGTGCAGTTTTTATCTCCAGCCACACCACAATTTCAGAAAGCACACTCACCCTCCACAAACCTACATATATGAATTAAACTTAGGAATTGTATTAAACAGATTATAATAAAAGAAAAATCAAAGCCTAGTTTTTACAGCAATCAGCAATACATTCTTTACAAAGCACCTAACTGAAAAGGCAGTACAAGCAAAGCCATAAAGCAGAGGACTAGGAATGCTATGAAGTGACTTTTGCTCTGCCTCTGCTCCTCCCTTCTTCCTTCTCCCTGTCAAAGCCTCAGATTTTAAAAGATCACCTATCCAGAGAGAACTTATATCCTTAGATACATTATTTAGCATTTCAGCCTAAAAATGAAATTTGTTGGACCCATGAGAGGTTTAAGAGGGTAGCTCTACAGAAGAAAGTTTGGGAACATCAAGAACATGCTCAGCTAAGCACCAAGAAATGCAGTTAATTTACAGTTACTTAAGGATACAAGGACTGATCACTCCCTGTAGCTACCTCGTCTGTTCTGTATCAGAAAGTATTCTGACTTCAGACCTAAACCCTGTATACGTTTTAATTATCACTATAATTTAATAAAGGGAAATATTTTTGGTGCAAGGAGCAAATGCAAGTTGAAATACACGTGTACGAACAGATACATCAGCACCGAAATCACTTGACATTTTCACTTCTTTCACTTCACCTTACACCACGCAGACAAGCACTTTTTAAGTGAATTTTTCCTAAACTGAGACTCATAATTCATACACGAGTTTCTGCTAAAACCACGCTCCCTATTTGAAGAAAAAACCACTCTGCAACACACAAGGTGAGTGTTCTGTGTGCCCAGTGGTCCTGAACGTAACCAAACAGGAACAAAATACCTGTATAGAGTGTTCTTTTTCTGCTGTAGGCATTTTCTAAATGACACACTGGAAGAAATACTGTCTGCAGCACACATTGCTATCTGCAAAAGACACTAACAAACACAAATCTGAAGCACTGGCTTCTTACAAATTTTAAAAACACTGTGAAGAAATACAGCGTTCAGATAATAAAGGTTTTTCTTTAATTTAATAAACTGTCTTAAATTTTGGTTGCTGAGTTACTGCTCAAGTAACTCGGGGGAAAAAAACCCACAAAACCAGTCACATCTACATTTTTGAACTGGTATTCAGTGAGTATTTTTTTTTTGTGAAGAGTAAAGAAATCCTGCAGTCTTAATATGAATCTTAGGGTAAGTGTGTAAATGGCAAGTTTTAGTTATATCAAGGACACAAGTAAATACAGAATAATTAAATCACTTGTTTATGGTTTTCCAGTGCAGCCAACCCCAAATCACAGAATCACAGAATGTCAGGG